AGAGTCTTTGAACTAAACAATACCCTTAAATCAACTCCCTTCTGCTGGCCCAACTGATGTAGATCTTGATGCACCTAAAATCACTGGCATACACAGGGTTTTCCTGATTACATTAAAACTGGTTAATTAAAACCGTTTTGTTCCTAAACAAATAAAAGCTGTAGTCACCAACATTCATTTCTTCAGTCATCACTGCAAGGCTGATAATGACTAACTAAGTTCTGATTGTCTCTGTGGGTCCACAGAGCAAAACTGCTCTGTGGATGGACCTCTAGGAAAGTGACACCCGTGTTTCATGCCACTTACACACATGGTTATTTCTCTTCTTCTGCATTAAGTGGGTTTCCCACACGCAGATATGGGAATCCTTAAATAATCACATTCAACATGATAACTCTGTGTCATTGAGATTTTGGGCTGAGCCTGAAGGAGGGAATTTGCATAATACTGACAGAGCAGCAGCAAGAACCCTTTCTACATTTTAAGAGGCTCTGTTGCCAGCATGTGCTGGAGTGAATTTTAATGCAATTGTTTAGATGGAAACTCTAGACGTTATAGGTACCTTTATTTTATAATCAGCTATTCTAATCTTTCACCTTATTAGCAATGGTCAATTCTCAAAGATATTGTCCTGTTTTCCCTCAATTTAAGAGTGATTTCCAAAGTCCTACCAATATCCATGTTTCATTTTGAAATTTAACTATGTGGTCTTCATAATAGTCCAAGAGCATTTTCTGAACTAAACTGTAAGAAAGTGGAAAAAAACAGATAAAAAAAGACAAAACCAAGCTTGGCTGTGTGTTTGATGACAAAGTTAATGATGGGGGAGATGAAACTGAAGGCTATAAGCTCAGAGACTTGAATATTTGAAATAATTAAATATATTTCAATGATCACAATTTTGTTTTCCCCCTCAAGATCACAATCTTATGCTATTTATTTTAGAAAAAAATGGAAGTTATTCAAAAGTCCCTTTCACATAGGTCTCACATATGAAAAAAAAAAAAAAAAGAAAAGAAAATGTGTCTAGAAGAAAAACAAGAACAAAACTTGGAACTCTGGCTCTAGTGTTAGACACAGGACAGGATAGTCAGGGCTGAGCTATCAATTTTTTTGCTGTATCCATTTGCTACACGAAGGCTAGAGCAGACCAAAGGTGACTTACCAGAAGCTCTACCATTTAATGAGTCCAGTCAGAAAAACAAAATACCTCCCAGAATAAAAGTTTCAGGAGTTGATAAGATGGGAAGTGGCATGTGCACCTGAAAAAGCAAGGCAGCTTCCATGGCCCTGTGCAGATGACCCAGCTGCTCGATCTGTGGTTTACAAGCTGAGGGGCCTCTGGCAGGTCGCAGAACCTCTCTGTGTCTGCACTTTCTCATAGCACTTCGGGGAAATAAATGCTGCTGTGTAGAGTTGCTTTGAGATTTAAATTAAATCTCCTATCACAGCCCCCACTTACAGCTAGTGAGTTCTTACTGCTATCTACCTTCTTTCCAGGCTTAATTAAAATAACAGAAAAGACTGATGGCTTATTCTTTGTTGAGCGAATGAAGACGGTCATTTTTATTTATGCTATTCAGAAAATTTGAACACACGGAACTTCCCAGAGACTCATACTCCAACCAAGGACTATTCATGGAGATAACCTAGAACCCCTGCACAGATGTAGCCCATGGCAGTTTAGTGTCCAAGTGGCTTACATAGTGATGGGAAGAGGGACTGCCTCTGACATAATCTGATTGGCCTGCTCTTTGATTACCTCCTTCTGAGGGGGGAGCAGCCTTACCAGGCCACAGAAGATGACAATGCAGCTACTCCTAATGAGATCTGATAGACTAAGATCAGAAGGAAGGAGAGGAGGACCTCCCCTATCAGTGGACTCAGGGAGGGGCATGCGTGAAGAAGGGGGAGGTAGGGTGGGACTGGGAGGGGATGAGGGAGGGGCTTATGGGGGGATACAAGTGAATAAAGTGCAATTAATAAAAAATAAAAATAAAAAATCTAAAAAAAGGGATATGCTCTGGTAAAGAATTATTGAAATTTCGACAAGACTCTGATGGGCTTCATAAGCAAAGCCTTTTTCCACTTTAGAATTTATTTGCCAGGTAAGTGAATATTTATTAATCATCTACTATGTACATATTCTTGCTCTGGACACAAGGGATACACTGAAAACAAAATAGATCTGCCCTGACAATACTCCTATGTCTTCTAGATCTCTTAAAAATAATGTCTGTATGTGGAGGAAGCAGATATCTTCTCACATTTAGCCACTAGCAGGGGCCTTTACAAAGCTCACTCTTTCTTAGATCAGTGGAAAATTAAACTTCAGAGTTGAGTTCATATTACTGTAATTTCAGTACTGTATGAGCTGGGTAGAAAAAAAAAGACTATGAATGTAGAGCTCCAAATCTTGACTCTTTTTCCTGAGCGAAACACCCCTGGGAAAGTGCACTGACCAGTCTTTGTCTGTCTCCTCTCTAATGCTGCATGGGACTTGATGAGGTGGCACCTGTCTAGTACCTAGAGAATGTGCAGGAGGGAAACCATCATGTTAATGACCATGTAAGTCCATCTGCTTTTCTACCAACCTGAAGAAAGAGTGCTATCTCAAGGCTGAAGGTACAGAAAAGGAAGCTGCAGTGTCTATGCACCATTATTTGGAAAACAGTATAGAAATATATGTAACTCCCAAGTGTATTTTATTTAATTTTAATTTAATTGTATTTTATTTAAACAAAGAAAAACACATCAAAGATTGTGTGTGAGGATCCCATTTTTAAAAATCTCCAGTCTGACACATCTCCCTGGCTCATCTTGTAGAGTAACATTTATTCTTTGTGCAGATGTGCATAGTGTCAAAATGACTTTTATAAAAAATCTTTCACTGTTTTAGATTGAAAAGATTGGTTTCTTTTAACAGGCCTATTAGGGCAAGGGGAAGATTATATTGTAATTACCTATAATCTATAAAATTCCTAAAAGGAATTCTGAAACATGAGACTCACTTGGGCTCATCCATTTTAAATTAGTTACATACCTTCATTATTTAATATTAATAAACATTATAGAGTATCTACCCACTTAAAGTATCTTACCATCACACTGAAAACTCAGTGTGAGAAACCCATCCACTCATCAACTATCACTAGATTAAAAAAAAACAAAAGGAAAACAGTCCAACTAAAAAGAAGTCTCCTATTGTGTTTATTGAGTATCCTTGAGGATCTTTGTAGGGTGTGTAAGTTATTGACAGTTTTTATGTTCATCAACCTTGCCCTTACCGTGGGCTCCTCTCACTTTTACTCCCCTTTTATCTAGCTGCACCTCTTCTCTTCCACTGCCACAGGATGGCGTATATCTGCAGGCACATCTCTGGTCAGTGGAGCTCATATTGGACAGACATACTTTTCAGTATTGTCAGCGTGACAAAGTTTTCAAAGGCTCATTCATCCTTTTAGAACCAATGATGATCTGGTGGGTCTGACCAAGTCTGGGTGCTGGAAATGTTAGCACTACTGTGCTGGAGCATGGAGGACTCCTTCAAGTTCTCTCCCTTCCAGTTTTGTACTGAGGCTGCATTTTTGGGCTCAATTACTGCTTCGAAATAAGTCAATCTGAAGACTGAATCTCTGAACCCTTCCATTTTTGAAAGTGCCTCCAGATAAGTAACATTAGAAAGCAGGTACAAGCTCTCCTGGAAGACAGCCAAAATCTCCAGCATCTGAGGATCCACAGTACCCAGCCATGCTGAAGTCGGAGGTAGCTCTTTCTATTGCCAGCTCCATCAGAGGAAACACTTGCCATCACGTAGAAAGAGCCCTCTCGTCATCAGTACAAGCCACCAGCCATCATTTGCCTCTGCGGGCTCTTTTTTCATTTTGGTTAACCACCAGAGTTTATCTGAAATTCCCCTAACAATGAATCTGGCAGGATGAATTTTCAAGTTTATTTTAACAGTCAAGTACAAGGAGAGGTCAAGGGGGTATTTTAATTTGGATTTCATTGAAGCTTATGGCGTGAATTGTCTTGGGGAGCCACACAAAGAGCACAGCACAGGCAGCTAAGATAATAGGCATGTATTCTCTCATAATTCTCAAGACTGTTAGTCTGAGATCAAAGTGTTGGACTGACCTGATTTCTTGTGAGACTTCTCTCTGTGGCTGGCACTTCTCCCCCTGTGTCCTCAGATGACCCTCCCTCAGTTGGTGTCTCTTTCCTAATCTCCTTTTATAAGAAAATCAACCATATTGGATTTGAGCTTACTTCTATGACCTCATTTGAACTTAATTATCTCTTGAAAGTCCATACTTCTAAATACAGACACATTCTCAGATACTGATGGAAGTTAAGTCTTAAAAATAGTGAGTTGGGAGAGACAGAAGGCAGTACATCATACCCATGAAATGAAAGATTTTACCAATCTCTTTGGCTTCCTCCAGCTGGCATTCCATGTGCATGAAACCAGGTCTATGTTGGTCCTGCTTTGCCATCTCCAAAATAAATGCAGAGCCTGTCATTCTGGGAACAAGTACTCTATATTGTTTTTGAAATTGTGTTGAATGGGCTTAGAAAGCTGAAACATGTCAAGTGTGTAAAGGCTCTGAAGTAAGAACAAAATATATAAAAACTTACCATCTTATGTAGTGGAAAGAACATACACTATATCTTTTTTAGGTCAGTGAAAATTATATTGTAGATAATCTAAGAGGTTTGATTTAAAGTTGTCTGCATTATGAACTTTGTAAGTTTATGGATCTTGTGCCAATTTGAAATTTGAGAAAGATGTCCATGCAATGGCCATAGGAACTGGCATTTAATTGTATTCCTGTTCATGACTGCAGAAACCTTCCACTGAACTACTGAAAGTAGGCTGTGGCGCTCAGCAAGTGGACATTTTCAATCACGGTCCTAAGATTCTCTTGTGAAATAGTTAGGTTTTGGTTGAGTCTGCCCATCCATTTAAAGTGGCATAATGACAGGTTTAGGGCTATTACCTTGAGGCTTGGACTTGCTGAGTTTGCCACAGGGCTTGGAGATGGTGACGGTTTTCTGACAGTCAGCATTGTGAAGAGCTCTCTTCAGACTTCCAGTCCTGGTCTTCAAGGCAGTATTCAGGTCACATTCTCCCCAAGCCTGGAACTGGTATTTGCACTCAGCTAAAAGGCATAATAAGATGACAACCCAGATGTCCATCAACGGAGGAATGGATACAGAAATTGTGGTATTTTTACACAATGGAATACTACTCAGCAATCAAAAAGGAGGAAATCATGAAATTTGCAGGCAAGTGGTGGGATCTAGAAAAGATCATTCTGAGTGAAGTATCCCAGAAGGAGAAAGACAAACTTGGTATATACTCGCTTATATAGACCTACAAGACATGATAAACATAATGAAATCTACACACCTAAAGAAGATAATCAAGAAAGTGGACACAGGCGAAGGTGATTAATCTTCATTTAGAAAGACAAATGGGATGTGCCTTGAACTTATGACAGGAGTCTACCACAAAAGGCATCTGAAAGACTCTACCTAGCAGTGTTTCAAAGCAGACACTAAGACTCATAACCAAACCCTCGGCAGAGTGCAGGGAATCATATGAAAGAAGGGAAGTTAGTATGATATGGAAAGGATAGGAGCTCTACAAGGACCAAATATATCTGGGCACAGGGTCTTTTCTGAGACTGACACTCAACCAAGGACCATCTATGGATATAACCTAGAACTTCTGCTCGGATGTGGCCTGTGGTAGCTCAGTAACCAAGTAGTTTTCCAAAGTAAGGGGAACACGGACTATTTCTAACAGGATCTCAAGGGCAGGCTGTTTGACACCTCCCCCCAGGGGAGGAGCAGTCTGTTAGGCCACAGAGGAGGACTTTGCAGCCAGCCCTGAAGATACCTGATAAAACAGGGACAGATGAAAGGGGAGGAGGTCCTCCCCTATCAGGAGACTTGGAAAGGGGCAGGGAGGAGACCAGGGAGGGAGTGTGGGGTTGGGGAGGGAATGAGGGAGTGGGATACAGCTGGGACACAGAGTTAACAAAATGTAACTAAAAATAAAAAAATAAAAAAAAACAACAACAAAAAAAAAAATCCTTAAGAGAGCTTATTGTGGTGATAATGAGGGCACAGTTTTGATGTGAACTGTTTGTGTGTAAGCCACGTCTAATCCCATGAAGTTATAAAAAATAATGCAGAGGAATTCTATATACTCTACACCCAATTTCTCCTGGTTTTGCTATCTTGAATACCTGCAGGTCTATCATGTGAAATGGACATCCCAAGAGTGTCAGATTTTCTCGGCTTTACATGCATGAACATGGATAGTTCTGTCAGTGTGAGTGCATATGATCAGCACTATCATGGTACATACAATCCCAGTACAAGTGGCCCGTGTGTCACCTTATATAGTCACGACCTTCTTACCTACTAAATTCTTTACAGCCACAAATCTCTGCTCCAGCTCATTTCATTCTATATATGAAAATCTATGTAAATGAAAAACCATGTACATGTTTGTGATTGGCTACTCTGGTACCCACAAAGTTTAGAAGATGGTGTGTGATCCTCTATAAACTGAAATAACTGATAGTTGTGAGTGGTGGTAACCAAAGCAAGGTCCACTGCTAGAACAACAGGGGTTCTTTACCACTGAGCCGTCTCTCCCTCTCTGAGACTAGCTATTTCTTTACTTAGCATACATTTCTTTTTTAATTTTTTCACGATTTACTCATCAAATATACCAACTCCCTCAACCTCTCCCAGTCCCCCCTTTATCCCCTTGACACTTTTCCCTATTCCACTGAAAGGGGAGTTCTCCACCATTGCCATCTGCCCGTAACTTATTAAGTCTCAGGAGGACTGCCTGGATCCTCTTCCTCCCAAGGAGGGTCCTCAGAAAGGATCCATCCAGCATGGGATCTAAGCAGATGCTGAGATTCATGGCCAAAGTTCGGGCATAGCACAGGGAGTCTTATGGAAGAAGAGGGGGCTGGGATAGAGAGATATGGAGGGGACAGGAGCCCCACAAGGAGACTGACAAAGCTAAAGGATCTGAGCCCAGGGGGTGCTGCAGGGACTTAGCATACATTTTAACCATCTACTCGAGCTATGTAAGTCAATAGTGTATGCTTTTACACAACTGCATAATATTCTATGATTCAAATATATTAAAGTTTGTTTACCCATTCACCAGGTGAAAGATGCCTTGATTGCTTCTAGCTTTTGGCTAGAATATATACACAAATGCAAATACTATATATTCACATACAGAGTTTTGTGAAAACATGTTTTATTGTCTCTGGAGAAAAGCCCAAGAAACTGATGAGTTCAACTCTGCTAATGTTTAGTTTCATGCAAAGATAAAACAAGCAATGCCTCCCAAAATAATATTTCTCAGTAGGAGTTGCCATTTTCTATTTCTACTGATACTAGTACACGACCTAGTATCTTTATATCTTCGCTGGCATTCATAATCCATTTATTCCAGCTTTTCTGATGAGTGCATAGTAATATGTCACCAGGATTTCAATATCTGTATCCTTAATGGGACAGAGAAATTAAATATCTTTCCAAATATCTTTGTTATTATACATTATCCTCAGAAAACATAGGCCATGGTGTGTTTCCATAGGGCACAAGTGGGACACTGTGGTCATTATGTCCTACAATAGCTGAAATTAAATAAATAAAAAATGAATAAATGATAGATAGATAGATAGATAGATAGATAGATAGATAGATAGATAGATAGA